GAGGACGAGCCTCTGGAGACTGTCAACGGTCTATGTAATCAATTGAAATCGATTTTCGAACCGCAGCACACTGTGCATCATTACCGTGGCGCTTTAGCGAACACGTATAAGAAGAGCAGCGAGCACGTCTTCGATTATATTAGCAGAATCAAGGACCTCCGTGAAGCAATAATAGATTGCAACCCGCACCAGGCCAACCTCGCCGAGATCGAGACGTTAACAACCGACAGCTTTATTAACGGGTTAACGAGAGAGATACGCGGTGAAATCAGAGATTTCAGAGACCACACGACAAGCGCTGTCTTCGATGCAGCCCTCACAATATACAAACAACTGGAATTAGACAAATTAAGATATTCCAGACCCGCGGCGGAGCCCCGCCACGTTCAGTTCGCTCCACGCGACAGAACGCCCGGACGTCGGGAAGACAGGAGGGCATTCACGCCCCCTCCAAATCGTAACAGTTGGCGATCAACATCGCCCAGGCGATATTATAAGAAAGAGAAGGCAACCAGTTTCGACAGCCCACGACGAACATATCGCCAGGTACTCAAAACACAGCGGAGCCACGAAGACGCTCCTCCTCGTGAGCACCGCGACACGTCGCGCACCCAGTCCGCGCCCGGAACAACGCTTTTGCACGAACTGCAAAACCCGAGGGCACGAGATACACGAATGCCGCAAGCGTGCATACGACAGCAACAGGCTGCCGGGAAACGACCAAGACCTTCGGCCAAGACCGAACCGCGGCCCGGAGGTCAAGCAGTCATCGGTTCAACGACAACACAACGAGAAGATAGAAGCAGCGTCATTCACCGCGTCGAACTAGAGCAATGGTTCACACCCATAGTACAGATCGACGCCCCACAGCTGAAGAAAGCAACCCCGCTCATGGTCGACACCGGGGCAGAGCCCAATCTGATAAAGGTATCTGCGTTAAAACCTGATACCCCTATTAATCAGCATGATACATTAAGTATTCGCGGCGTGACGCACGAAAAGGTCGGAACAATCGGGACCACGTACTTCACTTTGTACGGGACCCCACTTCGATTTCACGTGGTACAGGATGTTTTCCCCATAAATGCGGATGGCATCTTAGGATCCACATTTCTCCAAAACTCCGCTACTACGAGGGTTGTCCGTAAAATAAGGTTCCCAAGAAGCTGCAGTCACGAGGAACGCTGTTACGCGGAATCCGGCGACACTGTCGTGTAACTTGGTTCCCCCTCTCCCAGTCCCCGTCCCGGCGAGCTGTCTGCGACGCTAAGCCTTGGCTTGGCATCCGTTAGAGATGAAGCTCCCACTCGCTTCTCCCGCTAGGTGCGAATTACGCTCTGTGATTCGTTTTTTGTGTGCAAAAAACACTGCGCCGGTGGACATTCATTCCCAACTGTGTGAAGTCTACGGAGAAAAGTGTATGAGCGTACAACACGTGCGCAAATGGTGCAGAGAATTCAAAGACGGACGTACAGACGTCCATGACGAACAGCGTTCTGGACGGCCATCGGTTTCGGACGAAACGATTGCGAAAGTGGAAGAAACAATGCTGAAAGATCGAAGGGTGACGGTTCGGGAGCTCTGCGAAATGATCCCTGATGTCAGCAAGACCTGCATTGACACAATTTTGACAGACCATTTAGGATATGCCAAGGTTTGTGCAAGGTGGGTCCCGAGAATGCTTACGGAAGACCACAAACGGCAACGTGTTGAAGCGGCCCGCGAATTTCTTCAGGCCTACGAAACCGATGGCGAGGATTTCTTGGACTCTATTGTCACTGGAGACGAGACCTGTCAGTGGAAACATCCAGAGTCGCCGAAGCCGCGGAAGTTCAAACAAACACTGTCTGTCGGCAAAGCTATGGCGAGCGTCTTTTGGAACAGGAAGGGGTTATTGTTGTGCGAATTCATGCCTGCCGGTACAACAAACAATGCGGACCGCTACTGTGTGACGCTGAAGAACCTTCGCCGCGCAATTCAAAACAGAAAGAGAGGCATGCTCACGAAGGGAGTGCGTTTTCATCAGGACAACGCTCGTCCGTACATCGCCCGTGTAACAACCGATCTCATCAACAAATTTGGATGGGATACTGTCACACACCCGCCATACAGCCCAGACATAGCCCCAAGTGACTACCATCTCTTCCCTGAATTGAAGAAACACCTGGGTGGGACGCATTTCAGAACCGGAGAGGAGCTAAAAGAAGAGGTTTTAAGGCATAAAGAAGATGGTACACCGCATGCAAAAATGTATTGATCTCAACGGCGATTACATCGAAAAATAGGGGAAAGTCTAAGCTTTCCAAAAATGTATTATTCAATGCCAATAAACATGTTTTTCATTGTGAAAAATCATTGGGAACCTTATTTTACGGACAACCCTCGTACATTGTAGTATGTAGGCTAGCTACGAGAATCCAAAAAGTGAGCAATTTCATCGATTATATCGGTGATAAATTCCAAGAACATTTTACACCGGATAGAGAAATATCAATCGATGAATCCATTGTTAAATTTAAGAGCAAAATTAGTTTCATAACTTACACAATCCTAATAAGCCCACCAAATGGGGAATCCGTATTTATGTATTATCAGACGCACGTACAGGATACATACAGGGTGAGTCTCCTAACATGACGACCTCAAATAACTCGTAAGGTATTCGGTGTACGAAAAAATGTTTCAAGCAAAAGTTGCATGGTATCTAGGGGGACATACAGTGCTCTAATCTGTTTTTTATTACCTTGCTTTTTTATTGAGATATTAGGGTCACCTTCAGTTTTTTAAATGGAATATCTAATATTTTTTTTCGAATTCGGATAAATCATCAAATTTTGCGTAAAAAAGTATTACACAATACTTTTCGAAAAGGCGGCGCTCGGTTACGAAGAACGTACATATACGTTCATACCATATATACTTTTGTTTCATATTTTACATATTCGATACTTTCGTTCATCGAGTACCTGGCAACGCTGCATGCCTCGAACAGTTGACTGTCACGAAATTAAACACTATCGACAAAATATATTGTGTTTTTTTTTTAACGATATACGCCTTCAGTTTGCTTTAAGACATCATCAGCGACGGATGTATACCAGCAATTTATAATTTTAAAGTGATTAAAAGTTTTAAACGAATTCATAATTCTAAAATAATTTTGTTAGCTTAATTTTAATAACTCACAGGTAAATACTCAGTTTCTGCCATTGTGATAATATTATGTTGTTCCGCGGAGCACCCTCGAAATAACCATAGATTTAATTTTATAATCCATAGTTTGTAAGACGTCCGGCGGGCCGTAGCGGCTAGCAATTTGCACAAAGGAAAGCCTTTGACAGCAGATGGCTAGCACGTTTCATGACACACAATTTCAAGGGCTGTTTTTGAGGAATCGTATTGTCTTTAACTTCTTTAGAATTTGTTTCTTAATCCGTCAGTCACGATCTCAACAGCCAATCATACCACCCCCTATTCTCCACGAAAGGCGCCAAGGTCGTACGGAACAGGGTGGTGGTAGTCTTCACACGATTTCATTGGTTTCTGTCAATCACCAATCAAAAAATAGACACTTCCTAGAGCTTCCTGGCTGTCTCGGAAGTCTCTAGGAGTAATGTCTTAGATCAGTCTACCAGCAATCATCACACAGTAACCATCACAGTTTCATCACTTAGAATACCAATAGTCAGTAGTCAATTTGTTAAATAGTGTTAGGGAAAAGTAATATATTGTTAAAGTTTAAAATAAACAGTTAGTTACATACATAATCATCCCTATTTTCTAAAAAATAATAGGGAGTCATAAAGCACGCGGCGCGAAATAATTTCGAAGTCGAGACTTACAACCTCTGCTAGACTTGTCGTCCTCACGCCAAGTCTCGACGCGTGTGCGTGGCAAAACAATTTGTGACAGTAACGTTGGTCGATGCATAATTTATAACCGTGTGGGAGGAACAAAAAATAGATCCATTACGGTTTCCTTCATTCAACAGATTGGCTTCGTTCAACCTGAAGCGAGTGAGACTGTATCGAAATTATAATCTACGCATTTGCTATTTATCACTATTATCTTCTTTTTCATTGGAGAGTTTTTATACGAGCGTGGTATATTTCGAGTTGTTATTTCGAGGTAAATTGCATTTATCACGCTCTAATTGAACGAACATTTTCTATGGAATGAGTTGTACGTGTACGTAACGCGGAAAACGACGAGCCGCGTACTGTTTGTAGATAATGTTTTCAACTGAATATACAGGGTGTCCCGTAACTCTTCGAACATCCGGCTCTACGGGCGCTGTGATTGGCCAGTGGTTTTCGTTAATAATTCAAAAACGAAGCTTCAACCAACATTTTGGTAAAGGAAGAAGTTGTTCAGAGTCACCCCACCAACCCCCCATTTCCGGATGTACAAAGAGTTACGGGACACTCTGTATACATACTCTATCATCAGAGTGTAACCTTTTAATTTCAATTGGCACAGAAAACAATGGCGCGTCGATAAACGCTTTCTCCCTACCGATTTTATCATTCGCTGACGCGTGTAGACAAATGAGTCGTTCGCGAGTATCATTCGTTCTATTACACGATCCTTCTGTTTTTCAAATCTTCGGGAGCGCCTAATTTTTAACTCGTTCAGATACACCTAGTAAACTGGAACCCATTAAATTTGAACATTTCAACAGTTTCGTTGTAATTTAACGAAACTAGAGCTCGGACGGAAAATTCAGAATTGCAGAAAAGCGCCAAATTTTTGAGAGGGCAGAAAATTCAGAATCGCAGAAAAGCGTGAAATTTCTCAAAGTGCAGAAAATCCTTCTTTTTTTTTTCTTCGGTGGAATATTTTTTCCTGTAACATATGCGATATTTTAGGTGATCGTGACGTGTGTACCATTTACATCGCTTAGTCGTGGCCGTGGGGCCTGCAAATATGCAAGTTATCAGAGTTCACCAAGGATGTCTCGATCGGCGTTTCAGTTTTCACTCTGACCGCGTTATCAGCCGAGAGGTAAGTTGTCAAACCCAGTTACGACCGAGGAAATTGTTATTTCAGAGATAGTATAGAGACCATCGTAACTTGTGCCGAAGTTGCTCGGCCTATTAATGGACCAGTCAGCTGGTTGTTCGAACGTCTAATCAGTAATCCAAACGTAACTTTCTCTCTCTCTCTCTCTCTCTCTCTCTCTCTCTCTCTCTTTCGAGAAATGAACGGTAGGATTCGTTCGTTCCGTTTGTAAATTCACAGTACAAAACTTCGATATTGAATTCGAAACGACGAATGATAGTTGTATCGATTTAATGTTGAAGATTTCTTTTCAAGATTGCCCTGTGGATAAGCAGATATTGTTGTTTTATAGGTACCGTGCGATCGTGAATCCTATTCGACGTCACGTAGCTGGACTAAGAGCAACATCATTTACAAAACTAAAAGTCTTCCTTATTTGGGTTCTGGCGATTATTCTCGCAATACCAGCTGCTCTTTTTTCTAACGTGTCGATCGTACAGTTACAGGATAACCACAGAATCTTGATTTGCAGCCCTTTCCCCGAAGAATTCGGTGAGTAACACACCTCACTAACTGCCCTTCCAATTTTCCACTCTAATGTAAACACACCATCCGACAAGGATCTGGGGCCCTGGACAAGGAGCAGCGCAGGCTGCACCCCCACCCCATAGCTTGCTGGGCCCTAACGGCCGAAGAAGCATATAAAAACGGGAAAACGGGCAGCGGCACACACATTATCGTACCTAGCCATCGACGAGCGAACCAGGGTCATTTTAATATCTGTCGTTTTAAGCGCCTTCTAATTCTTTACTCTTACAAACCTAACAAAAGATTTCTGAAAATTACTAGATTTTTGAATTTTGCAAATAACAATACGGTTGACAATACAGATAAATTACGCAAAATAAAAACTGTGACAAATTTTCATAATCAAAAATTTAAAGAACTGTATATAATGGAAGAGGATGTAAGACGCTGTGCGACACGCCTAGGCAACGACCGCGGGACCCGAGTCGCCGGGGGCCCTGGACAAGGAACAGCGCAGGCTGCACCCCCACCCCACGGCTTTCTGGGCCCTAACGGCCGAAGAAGTATATAAAAACGGGCAGCGGCACACACATTATCGTTCCTAGCCATCAACGAGTGAACCGACGTTATTTTAATATGTCATTTTAAGCGCCTGTAATTTTTTACTCTTACAATGACATTGCTATCGATGAATCGCTAATGAAATATAAGGGACGCTTATCTTATAAATTTTAGAAAAGTCTAAATGAATGTGTTAAAGAGATTTGCAATTCGTGCGCTTATTGGTAGACTAGACGGCGAGATATAGACTGCCGGTCAAAAGTTTGGAATCACTTGCCGATTTCTATCAAAATCGAATATACCTGTAAATTTTGGAATGATCCATCGTTAATATATCAGACGTTAACAAGTTGAATTATACTTTAAGAGATTTCAGCATTTTCTTATGTCCATACTACTATTATATAATTCATACACTCAGTTTAAGGCAACGCTCGGAATAAACTTTTCTACTGCCGGGAGATACTCTGTTTTCGCCTTATATAGGAATTCGCGATTCTTTTGTTTACCAATAAGCGTCGAATGTTACAATATTAGATTCCAATTGGCTGCTCCGGGGGCTGAGAAAATGTATAAATCGCACATTTATTATACATTGCCACCATTCTTGTGAACGAAGGCGTTGAAACCTGATCAGCAGCTAAAATTTTACATTAATACTTTAAAAAACTTTTTCTCTCTCTCTCTCTCTCTCTCTCTTTCGAAAAATGAACGGTAGGATTCGTTCGTTCCGTTTGTAAATTCACAGTACAAAACTTCGATACTGAATTCGAAACGACGAATGATAATTGTATCGATTTAATGTTGAAGTTTTCTTTTCAAGATTGCCCTGTGGATAATCAGATATTGTTGTTTTATAGGTACCGTGCGATCGTGAATCCTATTCGACGTCACGTAGCTGGACTAAGAGCAACATCATCAACTAAATTAAGTCTTCTTTATTTGGGTTCTGGCGATTATTCTCGCAATACCAGCTGCTCTTTTCTCTAACGTGTCGATCGTACATGTTGCGCCGTCACGCGAGTGATCGGATCGGCACTTTGAGGTGCCGCCTCGGTGGCGCGTGCGATGCGGGCCTTTTTGGACTAACGGTCGGGCGCGCGTCATCGCGGCGTATAAAGACGGCGGACGAGCCGTCGTCGGCGCACAAATATTATATCGCCTGTCGCAGCAAGACATTTGTATCGTTAACAGGTTATGGGCCCAGAGTGTCGCTTAGCCTAAATAACCGAAAGGAAAGTGTTACAGTAAGTGCATACGTTCTTGTTTGAGTTCGGTACGAGTGCCTACGAACATTAAGTGTAAACTGGCGAGTCTCGCGAAAATCGAAGGTCTCAACAAGGAAAACTATGATACGTGGAAGATACAAATGCGTGCGTTATTGGTAAAGAACGATGCGTGGTGTTACGTCAATGGTGAAGCGAAAGCACCGAAAGTGACGGCCGACGATCCAACATCGGAAGCAGCGTTCCGCACGTGGGCTAGAAACGACGACATGGCGAAATCCGATATAATATTATCAATCAATCCGTCGGAATTGAAGCAGATTAAGGACTGCAAAACATCGAACGAGGTATGGCAAAAGCTGGAACAGATTTATCAGTCACGCGGTCCCGCACGTAAGGCTACGCTGTTGAAGAAATTAATTCTACAGCGTATGCACGAGGGCGAAGATGTTCGCGAACACCTCAGGAGATTTTTCGACGCCGTAGACAAATTACACGAAATGGACATTGACATCAACGCCGATTTAACACTAGGTTTACGGGACCCGTCAATTTGACGGATTTCAAACTTTGAAATGAAATACCCAAAAAACCATAGCATTAATCTTAACCACTATGCATCGTAAATTTATAATTTCATTAAAAGAATTTATACACATAATTATTATTTTCCTAAGCTTTCTAAATTTTGAAATTTGTATGTGGTACACCTATCTCTACGAAACCCGTCAAATTGACGGGTTAGCTGAATATGTAAACAAACCTTATATATTTGCTTCGTTTGTAAAATTATTCCTCTAATAGTAAATATAAGAGTGAAAGAAAAGTCTAAGGTGCCCCAACTCATTATCTCAATAGCGCCTCGATAATGTGACATAAAGCGAATTGTATGGCCCGGGTGTCATGTTACTTCGCATTGAACGAAATCGCTTATCAGAGTAATCCTCGCGTCATTCGAAACTCAAAGCATGCAACAGACTAAATGTCGTATTGAAAAGATTATCGGTTGATGTGTTAGTGCACACATAACAACGCACACAAGCAATTTTCACAGCCGGCGATAGCCGACGTTAGGCTGCGGTATGCTTTGAGTTTCGTATGCCGCGAAGATCGATCTGTAACGATCTCCAAAGATATCTCTAAGGCACGAGACGATCTTCAGTATAGTTGCTGCAGTGACAGTGGTAAGAACATTTTTCGAAGACAGTGTGCAAAAGTTTCGGTTATTGTAGTTTCCGCTTATTGTAGGTATTTACAATAGGGTAATTGAATTTGGGCACAGTATTTTTTTACTTTCGCCGATCACCCTTTTCTAGCAATCATAAGTAAAAACAGGAGATATAGTAAGAAATTGACCAAAATTATCAACATCAATGACGATTGTTCTGAGGGTACCTCCGAAGAAGATCAATATGAATTATGTGAAAGTGAAGATTACAGTGAATATTCTGAATCCACTGAAACTGGAGAAATGGAAGGATCTTCGGATAGTGAAGAGGAAAACTTCTTCAAAATGCGTCGTAACAAGAAAAGGATGCGAATTATTTCTAGTTCTGACACCGAGGATGAGAGGACGAGTATTCCAAGTACATCCCGAGATGTAATGGAAGAAATTGAAATTGCAGCTGACGGGACAGAGTGGGTGAAACTGAAAGCAGGAAAATCTAGGGGTAGGCCGCCCGCTCATTTTATATTCAAGGATATCGCAGGGCCTACTGGTTACGCAAAAAGAAATATTATGTCGGGTTGTGTAACTAGTGCTTTTGAATTGATAATTGACACTCACATTATGAAACACATAAAAGACTGCACCGAAACCGAGGCACGTTGAGTTTTGAAAAAAGACTGGACAATCACAGTTTCTGAATTACGTAGTTTTCTAGCAATACTATATGCCCGGGGCGCGTATGAAGCAAGAGCATTGAAAGCATCTTATCTATGGTCGAAAAAATGGGGACCTCCTTTCTTCCGAGACACAATGCGCAGAGATAGATTTATAGAAATTCTGAGATTTATACGCTTTGACAAAAGAAGCCAACGATCCGAAAGGTTACAAACAGATAAATTTGCGCTGATATCTGAACCATGGAACAGATTTATAAGTAATAGCCAGGCTTGTTATAAGCCACATCAAAATATCACAGTAGATGAACAGTTATTTCCAACGAAAGCCCGTTGCAGATTTACGCAATATATGCCAAATAAGCCTCATAAATTTGGCATAAACTCCAGCCAAATGCATAAACTGTGGTAGCGATCACCCAGCTAATGCAACTATATGTAAAGAGTACCTGAAAAGACTAAGAGCAATAGAAACAAAAAGTAATTATACAAGAAACAACGTCAATCAAGACAAAATATCTAGGAGCTTACCAGTACCTGATACTAATAGTCAAGAACATTATCCTACCCTAAGAAAAACATATTCACAAACAACGCAGAGCAACATGCAGACCAAAAGCAACAATGGAACAGTACCATACACAACACCCACATCATATAATAGGACATATATGGATGGAAACACATATCTTGCCAGAACTTCTAACAACACCATCCAGGAAAGGCATCAATCAACAACAAATGCTAGTGACAAAAACCCAACTAAACAAACACAAGTGCAAGACTTCATGTTTCTTACAAGGGAAATACAGGAACTCTGTAAAGTTTTTAATATTAAGAAAATGCTAGCTGCAATTAGAAATTTCAGGAACAATATAGTAAACTGTAGAACTCCTGGACAACAATTTCAATTATTATTAGAATTCTGTGATGCACTTGATAATGAATAGTTTAAAAATTTGTAGTTGGAACTCAAATGGACTTAGACATAGAATAGGTGAAGTAATAGAGTTTTTACATAGGAATAAGATAGACATATTGTTAATAAACAAAACGAGACTAAATGATCAAATAAATATAAAAGTTAAAGATTATAAGTGCCTAAGAAGAGATAAAACAAGTACCGCTGGAGGTATAGCTATCCTAATTAAAAACAATATACCTCATAAAGAAATTTTATTAGATAGAACTGTTCGAATAGAATGCTTAGGTATTAGGTTAGCAAGCAATGTACATATAGTAGCTGTATATAGTAGTCCTAGGATAATATACAATTCCAAAGAGCTAGACACATTATTAAATATAGGCGATAAGGTTATGTTGGTTGGAGACCTGAATGCTCGGCATGGGACTTGGAACTGTCATGTAAGCAACCTGAGAGGTGTAATCTTGTACAATTATTCACTCAACAATAACTGTAGTATCATGTTTCCAGACGAACCTATTCACTACCCAGAAAATGGAACAACACCAACTACAATAGACTTAGCTTTAAACAAAAATGTAGCAAACGTATCTCAAATACACACACTAAACGAATTGTCATCAGATCATAATCCAATAACATTTACCATGGGTGCACAGATCAAAACTACAAATAATAATTAGCATTTGACTATGACAGAGCAGATTGGATTAAATTCAGGCAAATAATTAACAAAAACATCAAACTAACACCAAACATCACAACAACAGAGGAAATAGAACAAGAGGTGCAATGATACAGAAACATAATAAAAAATACTATAAAACAAACAGTTCCCATAAAAACAATACAACAAATAAGAGATGCCCTTCCAAAACACATAGTGGACCTAATAAAAGAGAAAAATAAGCTACGGAAACTATGGCAACAAACAAAACAAAATGGACAACATCAAAATGTTAATAACAAAGCATAGGAATGAAACATGGACCAAACATTTAGAAAGACTGAATACAAACGATAACTCCTTGTGGAAAATGACAAAAATTTTCAAAAATGAACCTCAAATAATCCCTACACTTGTAAAAAATGATACTGAAGCTATCACCGACAAGGAGAAAGCTGACATGCTTGCACCCCAGTTCGAACGGGTACATAACATAGATTTAACAAACAACACCATTGAACAAACTGAAATTATCTCTCAAGTACAACAATACATTCAAAATTCACAAAATGATAGCTGGCACAAATTTATCACAACTCCTGTTGAACTGAGAGATATTATAACAAAACTGCCATCAAGGAAAGCCCCTGGGACAGACAATATCCAAAACATAATATTTAAAAATATAGGCCGCAAATCAATAGTGCAACTTATGTATATCATCAATGCATCTGTTAAACTGTCATATTATCCAAGACAATGGAAGACAGGGAAAATAATCCCAATACTGAAACCAGGTAAAAACAAAACTGAGCCGAGCAGCTATAGACCCATCAGCTTACTACCAACCATGAGTAAAATAGCAGAAAGAGTAATTCTAAAACGAATAAGCAAATTTGAACAGAAAGAAGACATAATAAACAATTACCAATCTGGATTCAGGAAAAACCATAGCACAGTCCAACAAATAGTACGTATCGTAAATGACATAAGTGTCAACTTCAATAAAAATAATGTAACAGTGATGTTATTACTCGACATAGAAAAAGCATTTGACCGAGTCTAGATAGATGGACTTATATATAAGATGATTAAAAACGCATATCCAACCCCATTGATCAAACTAATACACTCGTACCTAATTAATAGACACCTACATGTTGATATAAATAAAACCATCTCATCAAAAATAAAAATAAAAGCAGGGGTACCACAAGGCTCAGTCCTAGGGCCTAACTTATTCAACATCTACATAAATGATATTCCAGACTTCTCCAAAACAAAAATAGCTCTGTTTGCAGATGATACAACCATATATGCACACTCATTTAATGCAATAGTCGCTGTTAAACAAACGCAGATACATCTAAACCTTCTAGAAAACTATTAGGTTGATGCAAAAGGAATGTCGGTTTTTATATTGTTGAACTTTATCTTTGAAATTTTAATAAATTTGGAAATAAGTTTTGTCAATATATGGATATCATTTTAAAGCTTAGAATCTGCTCTTTATTTTTATTACAAATATTATATGATTTATCTTAATGATAGCTATATTTTTATCATTTTTAGCAATGCTAGACAAGAAGCAATTAAGAGCAATTTTTTTGTACGAGTTCAAACGAGGTCGAAAAGCGGCTGAGACGGCTCGCAATATCAACGAAGCTTTTGGTCAAGATACTGTTAACGAACGTGCAGTACAACGATGGTTCGCTCGATTTCGTAATGGTGATGAGAGCCTTGAAGACGAAGAACATGGTAGTCGACCATCAGAAGTTGGTGGAAGTTGATGACGAACAATTGAAGACGTTAATCAAAGCTGACCCACTAAAAACCACACGAGAAGTCGCTGAGGAACTCAACGTTGACCAATCGACTGTTGTTCGTCATTTGAAGAAAATTGGAAAAGTGAAAAAGCTTGACAAATGGATTCCGCACGAATTGAACGAATCCCAAAAAAATCGTCGTTTCGATGTGTCATCGGCACTCATTCTGCGCAACAACAACGATCCTTTCCTCGATCGAATTGTAACGTGCGACGAAAAATGGATCCTCTACAACAACCGGCGACGTTCAGCTCAATGGTTAGACCATGATGAGGCTCCCAAGCACTTTCCGAAGCCAAAAATTCACCAAAAGAAGATCGTGGTGACTGTTTGGTGGTCTGCGATCGGTCTTATTCATTACAGCTTCCTGAATCCAGGCGAAACCATTACGGCTGAAAAGTATTGTCAGCAACTCCAGGAAATGCACCAAAAACTTCGACGCATGTGCCCGGCACTGGTCAACAGAAAAGGTCCAATTCTTCTTCATGATAACCCTCGACCACACGTTTCAATGATGACGCGACAAAAGCTGCACGAGTTGGGCTATGAAACCATCCACCATACTCACCCGACCTCTCACCCACCGATTACCATTTTTTCAAGCATCTTGACCACTTTTTGCGCGAGAAATGCTTCAAAAACCAAGACGAAGCCAAGAACGCCTTCAACGCTTTCGTCACCTCCAGAACCCCGGAATTTTATGCTACCGGCATAAATAAACTTGTATCTCGTTGGCAACGTTGTATTGATTCTAATGGTTCTTATTTTGACTAATAAAACTTACAATAAAAAAAGTTACGATCGTTTAAAGTTAAAGGTTGAAAACCGACATTTCTTTTGCATCAACCTAATACTATAATCATTGGAAAATAACATTAAATGCCAATAAAACAGAGGCAATAGTATTTACCAAAAAACATAAAAGAAATAGCAAAATATACCAGCCTATAAAAGTTCAGAAGCATCCAATACAATCAATAAACGTAGTTAAATACCTAGGAGTCCACCTAGATTCTAAATTAACATTCAATCATCATATAAAACAAGCCATACGCAAAGTATACTCAGTACAAAAGAAACTCTACCCATTACTTGTTCACACTTCCAAACTATCAAAACACAACAAAAAACTGATCTACAAAATGATACTAAGGCCTATCCTACTATATGCCTGCCCTGTCTGGTGTAGCGCGGCTCCAACCAACATAAAGATACTACAGGTATATCAAAACAAATGCCTTCGACTAATACTATCGGAGGGTAGATATGCTCGAATTCAAGATCTGCACGATAAGACTGAAATCCCGACGATATTAGATTATATTAAAATGTTGTCAGATAATTTTTATAAAACCAAACTAGGAAGCAACGTACTTACTAAAGACATAACTAAAATTAGGAAACACAATCTCCCCTTAAAATTAAAACACAGACTACCTTACCAAGCACTATCAATATTTAATCAATGACCTTACTGCAAACTAAGCGCAGGTCAAAATCGCGAGAAAGAAATATCGCACACACAATTCCTAAAAGTAGGTTTTTTGTAATATATCTGTAGGGATGACCGA